AGTTGAAGTTGTTTGTGATAATTGCGATAATTAAATGGTGATAATGTTCGTGTGGGTGATGAATATATGTATGTATTGAAGTAGAAAAAGAGAAAAACTAGGAAAAAATACAAGTAAGAATTACAAAAGTTCGTTGTTTTATGCGTGATAGGTCTGCGAAAAAAAAAGGACAGGGGAAGAAGTTGTTGCCGGCTGTTATTTGTGCCTGTTTTTGTCGCTTAGGTGTAGTTTTACAGAAATTCGGCCCCAACAGAACCACCGTCGCTGTTGTTATCCAAAATTTTTACTTTGTTTATTTTTTATTTTTTTGTAAATGGCACAGAAAAAAACAAAGAGTTGAAGCCAATTTTTTTCTCATTATTTTGTTTTTTTTTCTTGATAATTTTTTGACTTTGTTTTATTGTCTTTTTTTTTCGTTTTTTTTTTTTTCGATTGTCCATGTGAAGGATATATATAAATGGTTATTTTTTAATATGCGATAGAAAGTCAGAGAAAAAAGTAGAGAAGGAAACAAGTAAAAATAAAAATGCATTTGAGAAACATATAATATTTTTTTCAGAGATTGAAACATACAGACAGGAAACCCTCCGGTTCAATACCGTTCAAGGATTTTCATCAACGAAAGTGATAGGAGGAAGGGAAGAAAAATAAACAAACAAACAAACAAATAAGCAGACAAACAACTAATTGAATAACTAAAAATATTAGTAAAATTATTGTGAACATATATTTAAATAAATACATACTGATCGGTATTTATTTATTTATATTTACTGTTGTTGTATAATTCTCGCTGAAACGATAAAAGCTGAAATCTTTTTACTCTTAACAGTTATCACTGTAAAATTTAGTTTGGATTTGGTGAAAGGTTAAAACAACCTGCTGATTTCGGTATCACCAAAATCCACTATTGTTGTGGTTATTAGTCTACACTAAAAGTTTTCTCGTTGTTTTCGTTGTTGTTTTTGTTGTTTTTTTTGTTGTCGTCGTCGTGTTTCCAGTGTTTTTTCTTTTTTTTTTTTCCCAGTTTTGTTCGCCTTTTTTGTTGTTGTTATTCGACTTTCCTGATTTCATTTTTCTGGTTATTCTGTTCTATTCGATACCTTTTTGATTTTCTTTTTTAATTTTTTGGTACTCAAAGAAACCTATCATTCTATCTTCTTTTTCTTCTTCTTATTCTTCTTATTCTTCTTCTTCTTCTCCTTCTCCTCCTTCTGCTTCTTCTCCTCCTCCTTTTACAACTTCTCCTTCTTTCGGTATATTTTTGTACTGACGGTGAAAAATTCAAAACACTAACGAAATTTTGCCGTAAATGTCGGCGTGGTACCCGTGGTTACTGCTCCTCGTTCTACTTAATCTTTACAGTCAAGTAAGCATTTTTACTACATTCCTTTTTTTTGTTTTCTTTTTTTTTAACTTTGACAACTGCTCAAAGAATAAAAATAGTAAATGAGAGGTATAAGGGGGGAAAGGAAACGGATGGATATGAAAAATTTTTTGCTAGTTTGCTTCACAATTACTATTTGTGTAAAATTTAGTCACTTTTATCTTTACTGTAACTGTCGTTTGTCGGTAGTCGTTATCGTACCTTTACCTGTGTGACAGGTATCACTCTTTTGCAAGCGAATGTTTTTGATGTTTTAAAACATTTAAGAGAAAGGTTTTTTTTAATTTTTATAGTCAATGTTTTTGCTTGTCAAACACTGCTCCTGCTTTTTTTCACCTTTATTCTTGCTTTTTTTATTGCCCTCGATTAATTGGTGTCTCTTGTTTCTTTGCTAAAACCTGAACAGTTCTATAAAAATGAAGATGATTTTCATTCCAAACATTCAAACTTGTCTGTTCTTTTTTTCTTTACTAGCTTGGGGAGTATTGCTTTCGACGGATAAAGTGGATAATGGAAAGCATAGTGTATGCAAAGGAAAAAATAGGTTAGTTGGAGGAGGAGGAAGAGGGCTTATATCCCTCACAGTGTATTCTTTGCCGGGAATTTTTTACTATTGTTTTTTCACTCTAATATGGTTAGTGAGATGGGAACGGGAACAGTATTTCCCTTGAAATTGTCTTTGTAGTATACTGAAAGTGGTATGCAGTTGATATATTTGGAGTTGCTTTTTTGCTTTTTTTGTTGTTGCTTTTTTTGCTTTTGAATGAAACGCTGAGTTATTTGACTTATTTGATAGCATTTATCAAATTAAACTTTTGCAAAAGCTAGGTCATTGTTGTTGAGTAACCTACTAGAATAAAGTGCACACCTGAAACATTTTGCTCTTTTTTTCAATTTAGTATTTTTACTTTTATTTTTCTTCCTGTCTGCTAAGTAAGAAAACAATAGCAGCTATTTTTGCTACAAAATTTCTAACTTTTAATGAATTTTTGTGCTCTTATTTAATAAAAACTTTCTTCTTTAAAAATTGGTAATACCTGTTGGTAGTATTGTAGTAAAAACAGTTTACCTAATGGTACCACGTAACTTGTGCACTTCTTTAAAAACAGAAGTGTGTGAAATTTTTTGTTTTTCTTTTGTTTCATTTTTTCTTTTTTCTTATCTTGACAAACTATATTTATTTCTTTTGTCGTTATTGTTGTTATTTTCTACAGTGAAAAAAGACAAGCCATTTTTTTAGTTCTAACATTAATTGATCGTTTAAAAAGAAAAAAGGCAATAAACCAGCTATAAACGAGGAAAACGGAAATAAATTTTTGTGAAATTCAAAGAGAAAAAGGGAACAACGACGGTAATAGTAATTTTTGAAACTTCACTTAATATTCTGAGTTTGACGGTGAAAGAATTTTTTATTTATTTTGACTGACTTTAAATGTTTCTAATTCTGAAGGGGGGGGGAGGGTGTAGGGGAAACTGCAAGACGTACATAAGCACACAGTCACAACACGGCATAGTTACTTTGCTTTACTTAACGTTTTTTTGCTAAGAAAGATTTTTAAACAAACAGCTATTTGAACTCACTTTTTTCTGGCAAATTTGAGGACAATATTGCCATCAAAAGTATTTTCATCAAATGGTGACCGAAAAAAAGAAAAAAAAAGGAAAGAAGACTATAGTTTTGCTATTGCTTATGTCTATCTGCTAGAAAGGAGATTTTCTAAATTTTCTTTGCTTATTATACACATCGTAGGGTTTGGTTTTTTTAGACAGTAAGGACGAAGAAGAAAACTGCGGAATTAAAATACATACCACTCGGTTGCTGTATAACAGCCACTTTTTGTCTAGCTAGATAGAGCTTAATAAATCTAAGGATCGAACAGGTGGAAGGCGTAGGGAAAGCGTGCTAAGCATAAGAGAACGGGTACGTACAGCTGTAACGGATAAGTATCAATATTTTTTTTCTCAGAAGCATTTCTAGCTCATTCAAGTGCATTAAATTTCATGCAAAAGAAATTTTGCAAGAGAAGCTCAATTAGGCGTACATTGAAACTTACTTTAAACAAATATATGGCTATTGGAGACAGCTGAGCGTTGAAACCCTGCGTTTACTACAACTGTTGTTCGGTGAGCAGCAGTAGATTTTTGTTGTAGATTAGAAGATAGTGTTTTTTTTTTGCTGACAAATTATCAGAAACTTCGGATTTCACTATGCTTTTTTGCAATTTATATTTTTGTGAAAAAGTTCAAAGTTACGAGGCTAAAGTTGCTGTAAAGCAACAGCAATTCAAAGACAAAGTTCTCCATATTTTTAGTTTACGGCACAGTTAATTTAAAATTCTTTTTCTCGCTTTTTTAGCTTTTTTTAGCTTGTTATAAGAGTTTTTCTTAAGAAATTTTGATGAGGAAACCTATTAATGATCTGTTAGGAAAATTTATTTTTTTTCATTTACTTGTCGTAAAAACTCTAATAATTCTTGTTGCATTTTTTCCTTTTTCTTTTTTCTTTTCACCTTTGAATTTTTAATCTACATTAATTTTTGAGGCATTAAAAATCATATTTTAGAGGATGAAATAAGGAGTATATAGTGACTTTCAAAAATCACTGTAGAAAAACGGGTAGCAAAAAAAAATTGAAGATGGGAATAAATCGGTAAAGAAAAGAAAGAAAATTGATGTTGATTTTAAAAATGGACTATATCGATGATTGAACTTTTTAGAAACTAATACATTTGAAACAACTAAAAAAGGTTGTCAGGGAGAGTAGTATTGGTTCAAATTTCTCCCTTACTTTGTAGACCCC